AATTATGAAGCGCCAGTGTGGACAAAACTCAAGCAAACACAGAGAGACTGAATACGCGCATGAGAGACCAGCAAATCAGATTGAAGTACCTGCCCACTGGTGAAAGTAATGTCAGAGCCAATCAGATTTTTCTTTCTTTTCATAAAGAACGGGGTTCGAATCCCACTTAGGCACTTGTAAACAATAATTTTAGAACATTTTGTCAAAAATCCCTACTGAAAAAACAGCTTAAACCAGCCTAGGCTGGTTGGCTGGTTTTAGAGGGGTTTTGGCCATTTCCAGGCTGGTTTCCTGCCATTTCCAGCCTGGTCTTAGCTGGTCAGGCTGGGAGATGACCAGCTAAAACCAGCTATGTCCAGCTTAAACCAGGCTGGTCAAGCTGGTTTTAGCTGGATTTTGCTGGTCTGTTTCCAGCCTGACCAGCTAAGACCAGGCTGGAAATGGCTGGAAACCAGCCTGGAAATGACCAAAACCCCTCTAAAACCAGCCTGGTCGACCAGCTAAAACCAGCTTACCAGCCTAGGCTGGTTTAAGCTGGATTTTTCTGCAGGGATATTGTTATGTTTAACCATTTATTAGAGCCACAAAGTATCTAAAACTTGTTTTCATGTTTAAATAGCCAATAAATGTGCTAAATAAATTAAAATAGAAATACCCAAAGTGAAACAGTTATATAAATTTAAATATTAGTTTAAATACATTTATAGTGGTTTTAAATATCTTTTAATATGTAAAGTAGAGAAGTTCACATTCAACAAACTGAATAAAACAAGTCTTTGTTTTTAGTTTATTTAAAAACAATTACAAATGGAGTAATTCAACTCACAATTAAATGATCTCATTGAGTGATGGAATAATAAAGGTAAAACTTTAATTGAATGATCAGTCAAGTGTTTCCAAATGAAATCTGTTAAAATAAGAGTCCTACAAAACAGGAACAAAGACACTCATGAAACAAAATGTGATTGTTAATTGTATTTTTTATTAGATGGTTGGTTTTAAGTACTTTAAAAATAGTAGATAAGCCTTAAATATAGAGGGGGAAATACAGAAAAACAAACAAACAGAAATTCAACAATATAGATGCATTACATTACAATCTCACAATAAAAATTTAATTAAAAACCATATAGAGGACTAAAATATTGCTAAGAGGCATAACATCAACAATAATAAAAATACCTTTAAGGTTTTACTAAATAAAATTAATAGTATTAATCCAAAATATGAAAAATTTAACACTTTACAATAAGGTTGTATTAATTAATTAAGTTTATGCATGTACTAATGTGAACAAACAATGCAGTGCAGTTCATTACAGTATTCATTATTTTATGCTTTAATTAATGGAAATAAAATTATTGGTTAATTCTTGTTAACTCACAGTGCATTAACAATAATGTTAACAAGCATAACTTTAAATTGTAATAATGCAATAGTAAATGTTAAGCTATAATTAATAAAGGTTTAGAAGTATAGTTCATTATTAGTTCATGTTAGTACATAGATTAACTAAAAAAACCTTATTGCAAAATGTCACCAGAAAATAACAAAAAACTTTTTTTTTTACAGTTTTAAGAGCTTTAAAAATAAATTATATATCTAGTTATTATGGCATGTAATTAATGTTACTACTAATTAAATAGTTAGAAAATACTGTCAGAGGATGGGCAAAACACAAAGATAAAACATAATATGCGCATTGACACAAACGACCAAGTGCAAAAACATAAATTACAGCCATGTTCATTCATAATTATATGATATGAATCAGGAGAGGGTAAATTTGGTTTAAAAAAACTGAAGTTCATTGACTTATACACAACAGTAAAACAATGCTTCTGCACAACAGTAACACATTGCGAGTAGTAAAGTCTCTTACCTTTGAAAGATGTTGTAAATCCACTGAATAAAACAAAAGGAGCAGATCGCGGATGTGTTTATTTCACTCTCCGAGTCAGAATGAAAATGGCATCTTCAAATTTCCCGCTGGTGCAAAAACACGGAAGTGCGCCACAAAGCGCTAGTGGTCGAAAGTATGCGTGCATGCTCTCTGTCACACACGCACACACACACACACACAGAGAGCGTTCTGTGTCAACATACTTTTTATCTTTGGGCTTTTTATAGAAAGTAGCAAGTCTTTACAAGTCAATAGGCGCAAGTCCAAGTGAAAGTCCGAGTCATTTATGTTCAAGTCCAAGTCGAGTTGCAAGTCTTTTCATATTTTGTCAAGTCAAGTCTGAAGTCATCAAATTCATGACTCGAGTCTGACTCGAGTCCAAGTCACATGACTCGAGTCCACACCTCTGGTGTACAGTACAATTTACTAGACTGCACTCAGAGGTGTGTATGTTAGAGCAATGTCAGATTGAAATGTACAAACATTTAGGAAAAGTCAAGATACTATAGTTATATTGTTTGTTTTTAACAAAGATTTTAATTGACAAAATAAAAAAAATGGTCTGGCTGCCTCTAAAGTTCTAGTGTTAAAAGAACATGGTCAATCAAAGTTGTCTCTAAAAAGTATTACATATTATTTGAATTACTATTTATTTTTGCATGGTATTACACCAAGTTTGTATTATAGGCAGGATTTGTATTGATCAGCCCTTCAATAGCCATAACGAATGTTTGACTGGACTTGATAATAAGAAAATTAATGAATAAGTTAATTGTTATTATCAAGACATATTTAATAATAATGAAAAAAATCTCTAAACCTGAACTTATATTGACAAACTATTTATAATATGCATATATCAAGTTATAATTTACAAGTGTGAACACAAAATGTGGCAGTTTAGCGGTTAACTTTCCACAACATTTATGAACAGTTCCCTATTAAATCCATTTTAAAGCTCACAAAAATACAGAATATCTAAAACTACAGCAGAAAAAAACTGCTCTTTTTGAATTACAGGAAATTTCTGTAATTTAACATCTAATATTCTAAGTTTTTTACGGCAACTGGGGCTGCAGAAAAACAAAGGATGTTAAATTACAGAAATGTCCTGTATTGTTTTTTAATTTCTTTACATGTCTGTACTTTAATCTCCATTATTTTACAGTTAATTTTTATAATTTAACAGATGTTATTTTAAGTTTCTTTACCAGCACCCCAGCTCTCGAAAAAAAGTAAAATAATGGATTGAGAATAGTTGTATATTACTTTTTATTTGAATACATTAACTTCTACACAGTAATTTTGCTGTTCCAAAATGTCTTCTTACAGCTCCATTTTTGATTGCAGTGTTTTTGTACAAACATCTCACCTTGATAGCAAGTGTGATATCAGCATAGGCACAAAAACCTCCTCCTTTGTCACTTGAGCAGTGATGGAAGCCTCCTCCTGTATAAAAAGAAAGGCAAGATACTGCGGGTAAAAAAATAATACTAATAACAACTTTTTAATCACCATGTTTAACCATGATTGACAATTTTGACCATTTGAATGATTACATTTTCTGTATCAATAATTTTCTATTTTATATAAGTTTTCTAAATGCTTTTTAATTATGCAAATAATTGTACATGCTCAATAAGCATACATTTATTTTCCTAAAAAAATGAATCAATCATTTTTAGACATATTTGAGCATATTCAAGTTTATCTTCTAATTTTTATTGTATATAAACGTCATTTATAAATTAATAAAACAAATCACATTCATTAAGTTATTAATATTACTATTAATAATAATAACAAAAACAAAAATAATGATGATAATAATAATTGTAGTACTAAAAAATTATAGTAATAAAAATAATATAATATTATATACATTAAATTTATATATTAATTCAAATCAAATTATATATGAACAAAAGAACAAAAATCACTTTATGAAAGTTGAAGTGCAGGAAAAAAATTTAGGTCTTAATTTTTTGGTGTGTGCATTGAAACAGCTTGACTTACAGAATGATGCATAAATAAAACATAGCGCCTGTTTTCCAGAACACCTAAAGATTTCCATTTGAATACCCTCAAAAAGTGGAAGATTGAGAGACTAGCTTTTAATTAGGATCACACTTATACATTCAGGCAACAGATCCAATCTGTCCTCTCATGACCCGCCACATTTAGCCTCATTAAATGACTTTGCACTCCGGAAGCGCCTCTACGGGAGCGGGCCGGTTGCTGATTAGCATTTATTGCTTATTCACACGACCCTGCTTGCTGATTCACACCTTTCAATTACTGAGCAACACCCTCCGAGGAACAACGCGTGCATTCGAATGAACAGTCGTCCGTTGTCTATTATGTTTAGCAATGCAGAGGCAAAGAGCAGCACTGTTTCTTAGCGGCATGAAGGAAATGGCTGAGCTGGCAGGAGTTATGCTTTTTTCACATACATTTGTTTTTTTTAGAAATGAAGACTGGAATAGAATTGTGAATGCATCAATATAAGCCTATCTGGGACTTTTTTATTATAAGCACATGGAAAATCCAGATATAATTTAATATTAACTGTTCCTTTCCCATTTACTATTAATTATTTATTATTATTTTCTTTTACCAGTGATTCTGAAACGAATACCAACAGTGCAAAGCCATCACACTGGTAATAAATAAAATAAAATAAAATAAACATAGTACTATATTCAAATTTTAAATGTTCCAATTGTCATTCTTTTCTTAATTGATTCATTTATTTTTCACTTTCATTCTTTACTTTTGTCTATATAATTTTATATAATACATATAATTGATATAATTTTTTAAAATAAAATAATCAATATTTGGAGAATGCTTGAAAAAAAAAAAAACCTAATACAACCTAAAACTAATTTTACCTTAAATTCTTTATACCACTGGTGAAATGAAATTAATTATAACATTTTTATCTATTGTATGCAGCTAGTCAATATTCAATTATTGTATAAATTTGTTTTTATTGTCCGTTTCATTTATTTAAATTATAGGTATACACTGTAGCAGTACAAGACCAACCCTCCAGTGGTACAAAACAATTAAAACAAAATAAAATAAAATAAATATAGTACTGGATTCAATTATTAAATCTTCCATTTGTCATTTTTATTTATTTATTTATTTTTTAACATTTGATTTTGAATATTTTGTCTCTATGCAATTTTTATAAAAGAATTTCTATTTGGAGAATGCTTGGGGAAAAACTGATACAAACTAAAATTAATTCAACTTTAATTTCTTTATACCAAAAATAAATAAATAAATAAAATCATCAAATGAACTCAATTTAATTGAGGGCTGGAATTCCATCCAAAAATAAATGTACATTTCTAAAAAAAAAAAATAAATAAATAAATAAATATATATATATCAAATATCAAATAAAAGTTTTTTTGTATTTGTGTATTTTTATTTAAATTCAACTCAAAGGTCTTATAATATAATGCATGTCTTTTATGTATAATACATTTCGAAGTCTCTTATTTTTATTTTAAGTCATCCTAAAGTAACAAACTACAAATCCCTAATTCAGGTAGTTGGAACAACACAATTCCATCATGTTGTCCCAACACAAAAGACTTAAGTTAAATTAATGGTATACAAATTTAAGTGGACTGAACATAACACAAAGAAATTGGTCAAAGGAATTACAAGACTTGTGTTGTTTAAGCTCATTTTAAACAAACAGCAGTAATATTTTTTTTGAGTGCATTGGTGAAATGAAAGTAAATGAAATTTAGATTTATATTCAACTACTCAATATTTAAATGATTTAATAATTTTATTTGCTAGTTCACTTTTTAATTTTTTTAATTTGGTAATAATTCCATCAGTACAGGACAGAAAATCAAATAAAATGTAATATAATTTTATTAAATATTAAATATTTTATTTAGTACTTTTATTTAATAACTCATTTAATTTTCAGTTCCAAATTCACTGTGTCTTGTTTCATGTTTAATTTCTAATTTCTTATCTGCACTTTTAAACAACAACAACAAACAACAACAAAAAACATTACAATCCTTAAGCTTCCACTTAAAGAGATGCCAACAAGTTCAACACCAAACACATTACCGTGAACTTGCAGCAGCTACGCTGTGATGTGAGAATATTTCTACTTTATCACTACTTTAAATGATCAATAGCTCGTCTGAGATGAAATCAAATATGCAGGGAGCAAAGCAAATCCATAAGCCACACTAAGATGCACTTATTCTCTCTGCAATAGTTTTCCCAGTGATGACTGAGAGCATTAAAATGAGAACTCACCAACATTTATTGCCCATCCTCGATCTATTGCCAGCTTTCCAGCCTAGGTTTAAAAAAAAGAAGAAGACAACAAACAGACAGAGAACACTTTAGTTTCATGATCTCATTTTCCAGCTGGCATTTCCCCCCTTTTCGGTCATCAATAAATTAACAGAAAAGCAGATATCTGTTCATGCGCCGAATAAATCAAAAGCAGGGTAACTTGGCACTAAAGCTGAGGGAGGATTCAACATTGTGCTTCTTTCATCTCTGATTACAAATCCTTTCAACTCTACACAAAAAGTTACATGCATATGTAGTCTACTAATGGCTTAGGATGGGTTTTGTGCAGCTTTATGTGCCTTTCTAATATTTAAACACACTTTTTTAGTCATTTAGTTTGATCCTTTCCTCATATTTTCCTTCCCTCATTCGCTTATCTGCCTTCCATCTTAGTTTTGCTTCCTTTCTGTTATTATCTCCCATGAACATATAGGAAAAATATAATCTCAAACACATTTAATGGCAGTGGAATAACCGGAAATGGCTTTAAAATGGTGTTTCCATCACAGCAATGACTATCCATTTTATAAGACCATCTTCCAAGAAAGGAGAATTCCAATGAGGTTTGCAATAAAAAGAAAACTTGATGGCGCTTTGTTGAAATAATAATCAGCTTTTCACCCCCTTTCAAAGTCAGACTAGATCGCTTTTTCTTTTATCATATCTTTATGTCAAAAGTAATCAAACTGCCTTGACGAGAAGCTCTCAGTACTCAGTACAGTATTTGGTATCGTTGGGGGATTTTCCACATAATAAATAAATATTTAAATTGTATGTGATGTTTATTCTTTAAAGACTAGTAAAGAAAACATCACGGTTTTAATGAAATGAAATATGGAATGATAAATTATGAATTGAATAAATAAAATAACGGTATCTGTGGAAGATTTTCCATAAATAAATATTTAAAATGTATGTGCTGTTTATTTTTCAAAGACTCCTAAAGAAAACATCACGGTTTCTATAAAAGGTAAAATAAAATCAGATAAAATAAAATAAAACTAAATAAAATTATCAGTGGATGATTTTTCATAAATAAATATTTAAATTTTATGAGCTGTTTATTCTCAAAAGACTCCTATATAAAACATTATGGTTTCTATATAAAAATAAATAAATAAAAAAATAAAATTACATTAAAAAATAAAATAGAAATAAAATGGTATCTTTGGAAAGTTTCACAAATAAATATTTAAATTGTATGACATGTTTTTTCTTAAAAGACTTCTGCAGAAAACATCACAGTTAATAAAATAAAATAAAAATAAAAAAAAATAAATAAAATAAAATAAAATAAAAATCAATCAGTGGAGAATTTTCTAAAATAATTGGACATCCCTGCTTCAGTCTTCAATATCCTGTCACAAGATCCTTCACAATCATATGCAATCTAATTTGACGATCAAGAAACATATCTATGATAAAACAGTTGTGTTGCTTCATATTTAAACATTATATTTTCTTTCAAATAAATGCTGTTATTTAGTTTTTAAAATGTTTTTAATTCTAAAATAATGAGAGTGATTTTATTGTTTCTCATGTATCATAGTTGAGAATCATAATTAACTTAATCATAGTAATTTGAAATATCGGACTAATTTATATTGAAGTAAAAAAAGTAGCCCTAAAATCTCAGATATTTTTCTTTGAAAAATTTAACTATGTCCTTAAGTAGCAGTTTTTGGACTTAATCCTACAAAAGTGTCTCTGTTATCTTTGCAGTCAAATGAATAGGGTATATGCGGAAGTATGTAGAAGAACTTTTAATTAGTCAGAAACCTGGGTCAAACGCTTCCGGTGAACTGTATGCCATTACAAAACCGATTTGAAAAGATTGTAAAGAAGCACTGCATTAAATAACAATTTCCCTGCCATATCTTTAAAATATGAACATTTATTTTACGGCAGTATATTCAATAGAGCTTCTAAACCAGCCTGCCGATCCTGACGGGCATGTGCAAGTAAACGTTTTTTTTTTTTTTTTTGTCTCGTTTTACACTTGAGTAACTAAATGAATGGCAAGGTTTATTTATTTATTTATTTATTTATTTAGTTATTTAACTGATTATATCTTAATTACATTACAACATTGATGCTGTAAAAAGAACCATATAAAATAAAAAATAAAATAAAAATGTCACATTAACCCTTCACCGGAAGTTTATCAGTATGAAGAAACTCTGGATATTAGCCTTTTGCTTATTCATTGCTAAAAGAATTATACTACTATACTATTAGTATAGTAGTTCATTCATTAGTATACTAATTGGAAAAACCCTTCTCCGCCCAACTACCTTCGTTGGATGTATGACCTGTTGCAATTTATTCATATGAAGAAAATTAAATTTACAATTAATGCAAAACAGAAGATTTCTATGCAGTTTGGTTTCTGTTGTATTTTAACCCATCTTACACATCTAACCCTGTCTGTATCTGTCTTTTTTTTCTGGCTTTTGAATGATATTGTCTGATATCTGACATCTAACAGTAATATACTGTAGGTGTCATTTGTTAATATATTATTATCATTATTATTTATATATATTTTTTATTTGTTATTGCTTTGTTTGTTTTCTTTTTGTAGTTGTTGCTTACTTTCTTTATTTTCCTCTAAATATGGTTCAGAGAGTAAGAAATGCATTTAATTACCACTTAATAATATTTCTTTATACTATTGTGAAATTAATGTATTATGTTTTTTCTTTAAGTCACTTGTAATAACTCTCTGATAGAAAACTGCCAATAAAAAAAGAGTTAAACTAAAAATATTAGCCACATTTTTTTCTTTTTCCAATATTTGGCAAATTATGTTTAAATGAGCAAGAATTCTTTTCAACAGTATTTCCTATATTTTTGTCTCCTGGAGAAAAAGTAGCATTTGTTTTATCTTGGCTAGAATAAAAGCAGTTTTACATTTTTCTATTTTTTTCCCTCCCTAAAGCTATATATTTTTTTCGATAGTCTACAGAAGAAAACCAATGTTAACTTGCCTAACTTGCACTTGGCACTTTAAGCTGAATACTAGTATCTTGAAAAATATCTAGTCAAATATGATATACTGTTATCATGACAAAGATAAAAGAAATCAGAGATTAGTTAATAAAAATATTATGTTTAAAAATGTGTTGAAAAAAAAAACTTCTCTCCGTTAAACAGAAATTGGGGAAAAAATATACAGAGGCCAATAATTATGACTTCATCTGTATATACACACAAACAAACGCATACTGTACTCACCTTTACAACACAAGCAATGGAATGAAAAACAGTAGAAACTATTAAACATTATCTCAGATTTGAGTTGCTTGTCTATAATGAGATCCCAGATAATGATCATTGTAGACAAGATAACAGCATATAGAGTTGATATACTATACCAATACTCTCATGCCAGTCTCCTCTGAGAGCTTTTAAAGCTACTTTCAGTCAATTGTTTAGTAGAGAGCCAAACTAAGAGAAGAGCTGCACACATGAACTGTATGAACACACACACACAAACGCTTGCAGTGCTCTTGAGCTCAATCCCTCGGCTCCATCCAGTGCATGGCTTTGCATAAGGAGAAGGTTATCAGTGAGCCTGGAGCCCTGAGCTGCTCCTGGGAGGCAGAACTCAGCTCAACTCAGCTCTATCGCTCCTTTTCAACTTCCTCTGCTCTCCTTCTTTACTGATACGGGATCCATCAGTAAAACTGCATCAAAAGTTCAAGTCTACAATCATTTCAATCAATTCAAGGAGCGGAGTGCATATAAATTTACTCATTATTAATATTTTATTCAAATCAACCAGCAAGAGCAACGAAACAGAAAATGCAACATGAAAAACATTCAAACAGATTTCAACAAAATTTGGATTTAGTGAAGAAATGTATGACCACAATCTAAAGATTGAGTCACATCTTCTCTATAAAATTTGTGTAATGTAATGTGTATTTATATAGCACATTTTATTATGTATGGCCATACACAATGCGAAGGCAGCCACATGACAGTGGTGCCAGTGCCCTCACCACACACCAGCTATAGGGAGAGTGGAGAGACAGTGATAAAGCCAATTCGGTGGATGGGGATGATTGAGAGGGCATGATGGGTAAGGGCTGATGGAGAAAATGTGGCAGAGAAACCAGGGTTACACGCCTAGGGGCTGATTACACTGAACGTGCTGTTACGTTCCAAAAACGCCAGTCGGACCACACTGCCTTTTTGTTGACAAGAAAAATAAGAAGCGTGGTCTAATTTTTATGTCACTTGGTAATGACCGACTCATCTGCGTATGGTGTGAGAGTGCTGCTGTTGATATTATTCTATTTTAATATTTAATAAAATTGTGATATTCAAGATTTGGGATTCATAAAGCACCGGATAACCCAAAAGAGCAACCACAAGTCTCTCCTTCATCTTTAAAAGTCTCCATAGTTGTCTTGAAAACACTAAACTGACGGCACCGCAACAGAAACCTCGCCTCTGCTTTTATTTGATTGAAGGATGAAAAAGAGGCGACTGACGTACTGTAACATGCTTTTTCCGCTCAGAGTTGACTTTTTTTCAACTGCGAGCACAAGCAGCGCACACAACGCTTGCAGCTGTTAGTAAATTATTCAAAAAAAGGTGCCTCTCAAGGCAAAAATCGCCCCCATACTCTTTAAGAGAAGTGCCATGGGACTTTTAATGAACAAAGAGAGTCAGGACCTCGATTTAACGTCTTGTGGCGAGGGGGCGTGGCCGAGAGCCGTGGGAACGGAGTGAGGCCATCGCGTAAGTGGATACACCTGCGGTGCGCACCTGCTTCGGATCCCACGGAAGGAGCTCTGGACGATAAAAGGAGGAACGATGGCAGAGGAAGCCAGTGAGGAGCTGCCGTCCATTTGTTTTGGTTTAGATGGCAGTCTCCGTAAGGAGCTGCCGTCCATATTATAAATAAATATTTTAAACTACGTCGGTTGTGCCGTAAACTTCACTACACGTCTTATCCGAAAGATGGCGAGTACTAACAGTGTACTGTCC